TTTGCTCGGTCAAATCATAATCCAAATTTTAATGTGCTGGGCCGGAGGCTTTTTCTGTGACGAGAGAAGGTCTCTGTTGCCCAAAAGTTCTCCTAGCCCCATCGCCCTCCCTCACAAGTCACAGCTGTCTCTTCCATTTCAAGCAGAGTGCTATTTTTTCCATTGTTTTTGAAATACTACTTGGAATTGGATGTGGGTTTGCTCTGTGTCAAGCTCTTGGGGAAAACAAATACCACTGACCGGTTTTGATGGCAACGAGCTTTGGCAGACACAAGGCCTCAGAGATGGCTGTGGCAAATTTTGGCAGCTCTGAAGTCCCCATCGAGGGCTCTGGCTGAACGAATGCAGAAGGGTGTGCGAGTTCTTGTGGCCTCACTAACAGAGGATGTTCAGCATCCCACAGGAAACTTCTATGAGGGATGAAATATGATAATTTATACTTGGTAACCACTGTTCTTTTGTCATTTTTGCAAGCTTAGGAAGCTCCACCTCTTTTGAGCAGCCTTGGCGGGGTGGGAGGGTGCCCTCCTCCTCCTCCGCCCTCGGGCTCCCTCTGCTGCTGCTCCCTCCTGGGCTTCCTCCTCCTCTGCCTGGGCCGCCTTCGGCCCTGCCGCAAACCTCTTTTCCCCCCGCTGGGCGCCCCCAGCTTGGCTGAGGGGCTCAGCTGTGTCCTGCGGTGGGGCCGTTGGAGCCGGCTGGGACCGGCTGTGTCCGGCACGGGGCAGCCCCAAGCCCTCCACAGAGGCCACCCTCTACCCCCCGTGCTGATCCCTGGGCAGGGACACCCGTACCCCACTGTGTCCCGGTGTCTGTATGGGTTTTGCAGCAGACAGACTCTCAGTGTGGCAGGACGGGGATGCTGAGAGGAAATGAAGCGGCATTGGGGTGTGCAGAGGGAGACCGGGGCAGGCACTGCAGGAACAGGGGTGGTAATGAGGGCACAAGGAAGAGAAACATCCGTAGGAGTGATTCACCCTTCTGGTTTTCCTTGTGGCCGACCTTCCTTAAAAAGCACGGCTCCTCCACCCTCCAGCTGGATTTTTCTTTCTTGTGCTTTCCCTCCTCACCTCATCTTTTGTCTGATATCCACTAGTGTGGCGCAGGGACCTCATACCTCACAGTCTGCATGTGCTCCCACTCCCCAGGTGTGACTGCGGCATTTTGCAGCCTGCCTATGGTGAAGAAGCACCGGCCAGGGCCAGTGCGAGGCCGTGGGTCGTGGCCGGTCACTTCCTGAGCACGCCAGTCCAGCTCAGGCTGTGTGGCTGCTGCCGGGGCAGAGGGGAGATAGAATCATAGAATGGTTTAGGGTGGAAAGGACCTTGAAGATCGTCGAGTCCCAACCCCCTGCCATAGGCAGGGACACCTCCCACTAGACCAGGTT